GCTGAGAGAGTTATGGGAGGGGAAGACCTCCCTGGATGGAGCTTCGGGGGTGGAAGCCGCCCTGGCTGTCCAGAGAAGGCTCACTGGGCTCATGGCCCCGGCCCGAGAGACCCTGGCCAGAGATCAAGGCCAGCGGAAGGGTGGGTGTGACCCCCGAGGACAGGCCTGCGCCAGTCGCCCTGGAGCGGGGCGGCGAGTGGACAGAGGGAAGCCAGCTCATGTGGGGCCTTGCCACGGCCGGCCTGAGTCAAGGGGAGCACCCATGTCCCCGGGGCGGGTTCCCACGCAGAGGACCCGAACTTCCCTAGGTCACGAGCGGAGTGACCCTGCTCAGTTCGCTCTCGGAGGGGGGAGAACTGTGACGTAGTGGGGGTACTTGCTGGGCTGTGGTGACCCCTGCTGTCTGGAGCAAGACCCAGCAGGGAAAACCTCGCTAGGCAGAGGTAATGCCAAACTTGTTGAACCAGTGGCCAGACACCCCCCATGGAGAGGAACAAAGGAAGGTGGATGCTGCCCTGGCTGGGGGGCAGGGCTGCAAGGGAATTTAGTTAGTTACTGTGGGAGAGCATGGAGGAGAGCCTAGGAGAAGGGGCTGGAGTTTAGGGGCCCAGTCTCCCCCATCTCAAGGGGGCCTGAGGCATCCTAGCCCAGCTCTGTGACCAGACTACATCTGTGCTGTGCTGTATCCTGGAGAGGCAATAAACTTCCTCTATTCCACCGGCTGGTGCAGTCTGTTTGTGCCATTTCGGGGTGCAGGAGACGGGGAACCCCCAACGCGCCGTCACACCCATGTAAGAAGGCCCGTTTGCAGGATTGAAAATACACAACTTGATATTATTGATCATTAGCACGATGCTTAACGATCGCATGAATGAAACATGGTCCGCACAGACTTTCTTTCATGGGACTTTTGCTGCTGCATCTTTTCGCAAAGCTCTTTGTAGCTTACAGCAGTGTTTCTCAACCAGTGGTATGAGTACCTTTGGGGTACGCGAGAGAAGTCTGGGGGGTACATCCACACCACTGAAATGTGGAGAAAACTGAACTTTTGTTTTAAGTTTTACAGCGCCTCATTATTTTTGTACTTTTTACACCCAAAAATTTCATCGCCCACTCGGCTACAATGAAGTTGTTTAAACAAATGTGTTGCAATGGTAGAAAAAAAACCTGTGTGTCTGAAAACTGTAGGTACTGGGGGTACTTCTATTTTTTTAAAAAAAGGGGTACTTTATGGAAAAAAAAGGTTGAGAACCACTGATTTACATCACAACTGGTGAAGTCCAGCCCATGCTTGTATTTGGGCCACGTTTGGCTCGAGAGCCATAGGTTGCCAAAGCCTGGACTAGAGCAAAAAGGGCAGTTTAAGGGATGTGGCCCATGGAAGGTAGGTAATTGCCCTTTAGGAAGAGTAATGAGCCTGTTTGTACCAAGCGCGCCTCTACCTTTATGCTCGGTCTCTTTGGCTTCTTATGTGCCGTGTCTCGTGCCCTCGGGGGGCGGTGCTTCCCGTCCTTGCCCTCCAGCAGTGCCAGTGTCTTCTCGGCAGACTGAAGTTTCTTTCTGAGCTCTGTTATTAGTTCCTACATGTAAAAACAATTCTCATGAGACGGGGTCGCTCTTTATCATTCCTCTTTCTATTCTGAATTGGGGAATGATACAAGCGTGTCACGCTGGGACCTTTGCCACGGACTTTAATAGGACCCAGACCAGACCCTGTAATACCCCTACTCTGACAGACAGGGTGGACCAGGGCCTGAGGCCCCCTGCTGGAAGCCTTGTGGCCCTGCCTCATCCTGCCCCTGAAAAGGATAGTAGTATTTTTTACTTCCTATCGTGCAGGAGAGCTATGGACATAGGAAACCCCAATACAACACGTCAACATCACTCCCACACCTCACCACGCTTCACCAGAGGGCGAGCCCTTGAAGACCTGCCTGAGATGGGCACCAGCTAACCAGGAGCACCAGGAAAAGGAAAGCCTGCGGGAATGCATTCAGCCAGCAGGAGGTTCTCACACGAGAGAAGTGCACGTTCCCGCAACGTCCTGTACTGCTCAGCCCTCTGCTGGACAGTACAAGTGATATTAAGTCTGCTCTTTCTTTGAGAGAATAATAGACACACAACTTGTCCCCCCAAAGGGAGCTTCCCAGCTGCTTCAATGTAAACACGCTGAGTTAAATGAGCTTCTGAGGGGGAGCCGAGTTAGTCTGTACCTGGAAAAAACTTAAAAACAACAAATAGTCCAGCAGCACCTTAGGGACAAAACAAACCTATAGATGGGATCATGAGCTTTCGTGGGCGCAGCCCACTGCTTCAGATGAGTGGAGTATTAACAGTCCAGTTCCAAAATAAATAGGGGATGGGAGGGGAGGAAGGGGAAAATAGTGAATTAGAGTGTTCATGTTACATGAAGCAGATAGAGAAGGTGCAAATTGGTCCTAAGTGCCCGTGGCTTGGTTGGCTAAGTCACTAGGATGTGAAGGTTGTGTGCTAGCCAGGTAATGTCTTTTGTGATGGATCCCAAATTTATAAATGAAAGTAAGTTCCAACGCTTCCCCGTCTATCTGGCTAAAAAGTCATAAAAAAGTCAGAAATAGCAGCAAGAAAAATCAAGACAAAATGTTTACTAGGCAGTGGCTGGGACTTGATGCCTCTCTAGTCCCTTCTAATTCTAGGATTAATGCTTCAAACTGTGTTAGAGTAGGGCAAAGCTTCTCAGTGTGCGCTGCACCCCTCCTCCAGAGTCCACCAAACACTTCCTTTGCTTCTTTAAGTGCAGTGACTATGATGGGCAGGAAAAGGGAGGGGGGGGTTGGTCCCTCTTTTCCTATATACTTGCCAAGGCATGGCTTGGGCACCCATTGGTACAGTAGCGTGGGAACACAGGGGCACACCCTGTTGCAGGGAATCGGAGGAGGGGGAGATTTTGTCCTTTTTTTTGTGCAGCAGGAGTAGGATCTTGGGCAGATGCAGAGGAATGCACCTCCACCTTGAGGGTGGGGAGGTCTGGTGAAAGTTACTCACTCATGACATGGCACCTGACAGAGCTCACGGCAGAGAAGAGAATCACAGAATCGTAGCACACAAAGGCACCTCACGAGGTCATCAAGTCCAACTCCTTGCCCTCTTGGCAGGACCCAGCACTGTCTAGACCATCCCTGGCAGGCGTCTGTCCAACCCGCTCTTACATATCCCCAGGGATGGAGATTTCACAACCCCCCGGGCAATTTATTCCAGTGTGTCACCCCCCTGACAGGCAGGACGTTTTTTCTAATGACCAACCTAAACCTCCCTTGCTGCAGTTTAAGCTTCTTGTCCTGTCCTCAGAAGCCCAGAAAAACAATTTTTCCTCCCCCCTCCTTGTGACACCCCTTTAGATACTTGAAAGCTGCTCTCACGTCCCCTCTCCATCTACTGCCATTTTTTTCTCTTGCCTTATAATTCTTGCTTTCTAGACCTTTCATCATTCTTGTTGCTCTTCTCTGGACCTTCTCCAATTTCCCCCCATCCTTCTTGAAATGTGGTGCCCAGAACTGGACACAATCCTCCAACTGAGGCCTGATCAGCACAGAGTAGAGCAGAAGAATGACTTTTCATGTCTTGTTTACCACACAACACATTAACAGGCGTGTTGTGAGCAGGACACAAGGAGTCATTCTTCCGCTCTACTCTGCGCTGGTTAGGCCTCAGTTGGAGAATTGTGTCCAGTTCTGGGCACCGCATTTCAAGAATGATGAGGGGAAATCAGAGAAGGTCCAGAGAAGAGCAACAAGAATGATGCAAGGTCTAGAGAACAGGAGCTAGGAGGGAAGGCTGAAGGAATTGGGTTTGTTTAGTTTAGAAAAGAGCAGACTGAGGGGGGACATGATAGCAGTTTTCAAGTATCTAAAAGGGTGTCATAAGGAGGAGGGAGAAAACTTGTTCATTTTGGCCTCTGAGGATAGAACAAGAAGCAATGGGCTTAAACTGCAGCCAGGGAGGTTTAGGTTGGACATTAGGAAAAAGTTCCTAACTGTTGGGTGGTGAAACACTGGAATAAATTGCCCAGGGAGGTTGTGGAATCCCCATCTCTGGAGATATTGAAGAGCAGGTTAGATAAATGTCTATCAGGGATGGTCTAGACAGTGCTGGGTCCTGCCATGAGGGCTGGGACTGGACTTGAAGACCTCTCAAGGTCCCTTCCAGTCCTAGTGCTCTATGATTCTAGGATACTCCTGCTAAAACATCTCAGAATCTTTTTTTTTTTGCAAGAACATTACTGAGCGTTACATAGCATACAAACTCCTTTGTTCATTTTTTACCAATCCAGGTGGTTAAAAATTGGCGACATGACAGATGTGAGACTTTTTCCTGTCCCAGGTTGGAACACGGGAATTGCCAGACTGGCCCAGACTCAGAGGTGTATCTAATTCAGTATTTCATATCTGACCGTGGTCAGAACCAGATGCTGGAAGTGCAGTGGGAACGATCCATGGTGCAACAAGCCGGGAGCAGATCCAAGACAGGACATAGGAGTCCTTAATCACCCCCTCAGTCAGATTCCAGTAGTTCACCGAGCTCCTTGGGCAATCAAGTAACTTTTCTAGGTGTGCACAAGTTCCCTTTATATCAGTAGGAAAGACTTGTTTCCCCTGGCAGTTTAATTCATAGAGAGACAGAAAGTTACCACCTACCCTGCACTCCCGGGCAGCCTCGTCCCGGGGCACCACCGTGTGACTGTGATGAACCTGGTATCGTACACACACCAAACAGAGGAGAACCTGATCTTCTTTACAGTAGAGCTCCAAAGGGTGTGGGTGCATCGCACATTGGATTTCTTGGCTGGCTTCTGCCTTCATTTTTAATCTTAACTACGGATTCCACAACGTCCCTGTGGTCCCTGTTTGGCCTTTGCTTTCTCCGCAGGATCCTCGTTTTGCACTGGGGCAGGCGGTGTTGCTCGTGCTCGCTCAACGCCGAGCAATACAGGCTGTGCGGAAGCTGTGTCCACAGTCCCAGGCCGCAGGGTCTCCAAACAAATCCAAAACAGCTGGGACAAGGAGTGTTGCCTTGGTTGGGTTGTACAGGATCTGCGGTGGTCACTCCGGGAGCGTGAAAACTAGCTCCCTGCTACCAAACCATGCCCCTCAATGGGCTTGTCTCACAGCAGAAAGGTGTGTCGGCACTCAGAAATCTCTCCTGTCCAAAGGTCTGCGTTGCAGGGGTATTTGCCCCGCTCCCTGGAGCGCCTCCTTAGAGATTACAGAAAATCTACATCGGCTCTCTTAGGAACATTGATAAGCTTTTCCTCGTGACACTGACAGGGCCTCCCACCAGCGCACTGGGAGGGACACAGCAGCCGATATCAGCACCAAGAACACAGCCCTTTCTTGATAAGAGCTTTCAACAAGGACTCTGAACTGGAGCAGAAGGTGGCTTGGAACATTACTGAGCGTTACATAGCATACAAACTCCTTTGTTCATTTTTTACCAATCCAGGTGGTTAAAAATTGGCGACATGACAGATGTGAGACTTTTTCCTGTCCCAGGTTGGAACACGGGAATTGCCAGACTGGCCCAGACTCAGAGGTGTATCTAATTCAGTATTTCATATCTGACCGTGGTCAGAACCAGATGCTGGAAGTGCAGTGGGAACGATCCATGGTGCAACAAGCCGGGAGCAGATCCAAGACAGGACATAGGAGTCCTTAATCACCCCCTCAGTCAGATTCCAGTAGTTCACCGAGCTCCTTGGGCAATCAAGTAACTTTTCTAGGTGTGCACAAGTTCCCTTTATATCAGTAGGAAAGACTTGTTTCCCCTGGCAGTTTAATTCATAGAGAGACAGAAAGTTACCACCTACCCTGCACTCCCGGGCAGCCTCGTCCCGGGGCACCACCGTGTGACTGTGATGAACCTGGTATCGTACACACACCAAACAGAGGAGAACCTGATCTTCTTTACAGTAGAGCTCCAAAGGGTGTGGGTGCATCGCACATTGGATTTCTTGGCTGGCTTCTGCCTTCATTTTTAATCTTAACTACGGATTCCACAACGTCCCTGTGGTCCCTGTTTGGCCTTTGCTTTCTCCGCAGGATCCTCGTTTTGCACTGGGGCAGGCGGTGTTGCTCGTGCTCGCTCAACGCCGAGCAATACAGGCTGTGCGGAAGCTGTGTCCACAGTCCCAGGCCGCAGGGTCTCCAAACAAATCCAAAACAGCTGGGACAAGGAGTGTTGCCTTGGTTGGGTTGTACAGGATCTGCGGTGGTCACTCCGGGAGCGTGAAAACTAGCTCCCTGCTACCAAACCATGCCCCTCAATGGGCTTGTCTCACAGCAGAAAGGTGTGTCGGCACTCAGAAATCTCTCCTGTCCAAAGGTCTGCGTTGCAGGGGTATTTGCCCCGCTCCCTGGAGCGCCTCCTTAGAGATTACAGAAAATCTACATCGGCTCTCTTAGGAACATTGATAAGCTTTTCCTCGTGACACTGACAGGGCCTCCCACCAGCGCACTGGGAGGGACACAGCAGCCGATATCAGCACCAAGAACACAGCCCTTTCTTGATAAGAGCTTTCAACAAGGACTCTGAACTGGAGCAGAAGGTGGCTTGGTTTTAAGACTGAGGAACACCAAACAATTTTTTTTTAATGAGGAACAGCGAGGATTTTTTGTTGAGCAAAAAAAAGGGTCGAGGGGAAGTTATTGAGCAAAAAAAAAAAAAAGTTGGGGGGAGGTCACCTGCCCCTTTAAAGGCAGCCATTTTGAACTCTTGTTCTCCACAGCACACCTCCAACTGCCTTAGTTTAAGAAACACTGGTCTATGTTGTGAGAGCACGTGATAGGCTACACCTGCTCAAGGCGAGAGCAAATTCCAACAGGGCTCCCACGCGTCACCAGAACTGGTTTCTTCTGCAGCCAGCCAGCCTGGTGCAAATGCTCCAGTGGACGGCCGGAGTAGAGAGGCAGCAAACTCCCACACCACGAGCCCAGCTTCCTGCATGCCCCATCACAGGCACGTTTCACAGATCCCACGGACTCCAAGGCTAGGAGAGACTACTGCGATCACCCATTCAGCCCCGTCCCGCCCCGTCACACAGACCTGAAACCTGCCCCCCAGATGATTCCTAGAGCAAAGCTCATCCAGAAACGAAACATTCAGTCATGTTTTCAAAAGTGTCAGGGACAGAGAGTCCATCACGATCTTTAGTAAGTTGTTCCAATGGGTCACTGCTCCTGTTATTTGAAGTGTATGTCTCATTTCCAGCCTGAATTTGTCCAGCTTCAGCTAGCAACCAAACTGCTCCGCCAGATTATTAAATATTTGCTAACTACATTGGGTGACAGACCCGGGGCAGCTGGCCACCGTAGCCTGATGGAGGGCAAGTATACAGGAAACCAGGGGAATAGTTTTCTGTCCCCCAAGGCTATGTCTATACTACGAGTTTTCTCGGCAAAAAATATGCTAATGAGGGACTCATTTGCATGAGCCGCGATCTCATTTGCATATTTTCTGCTGATCTGTTTTTGCAGTGGGGGTTTTTGCAGTGTGGACGTTTCCTTTTTGTGCAAAAACCCCTTTTTCCACAAGACCGGTAGACCTCCTTTTTGGGGGCATAAGGATCTTGTGGAAAAAGAGGGTTTTGCGCAAAATGAAAACGTCCACATGGCTTGTTTTTGCGCAAAAACCCCAACGTCAAAATGGATCCGTAGAAAATATGCAAATGAGATCGTGGCTCATGCAAATGAGTCCCTCATTAGCATATTTTTTGCCAAGAAAACTCGTAGTGTAGACATAGCCTGAGTGAACTGGCCAGGCACTCCTGCCACGAAATCAAGGCAGGCAGGCACCTGGGGCCAATTAAGAGCCGGCCGGAAGCAGAAGGCTAAGGAGGGCACCTGCAGCACATTAAGACCTGCTGGGGCCAGTGTAAAAGGTTTCCCCTCAGGAAAGGCAGGAGAAGGCAGCCAAGGACTGAGAGGGAGGAGGACTGGGAGTGTAGCAGGCCAGGACTACGGGGGGGGGAGGGGGGGTTTCCCTTCAAACTGTAGGCTAGCCTGTGATGAGGAAGGCCCAGTAGACGGTGGCCCAGCCTCTAGAAAAGAAGAGGCCGTGGGAAGGGCACAGTAGATACAGACAGACTGTAATGCCATCACTCGCTCCGCTTGTTGCTGTGTAGGGCGCCCATATCTCCCTGTGCGTAACACAGGACCCCTGGTGCCCTGACTCATCTTCAAGCTAGTTCAGCGGCTTGACTCAATCAGAACTGAGTGGTACAAAGGTTTAAATCTACATCAAGTTCACCGAGTCCCTGTTAAAAAGAAACACCCAGTAGCTGGAGTCTTTTGACTTACCTTCTCCCTGAGTAAACCTTAAGAACATAAGAACGGCCGTACCGGGTCAGACCAAAGGTCCATCTAGCCCAGTATCCTGTCTGCCGACAGTGGCCAGCACCAGGTGCCCCAGAGAGGGTGGACCGAAGACAGTGATCAAGCGATTTGTCTCCTGCCATCCCTCTCCAGCCTCTGACAGACAGAGGCCAACCTTTTATGGACCTAACCTCCATGAAATTATCTAGCTTCTCTTTAAACTCTATTCTAGTCCTAGCCTTCACAGCCTCCTCTGGCAAGGAGTTCCACAGGTTGACTACACGCTGTGTGAAGAACTTTCTTTTATTAGTTTTAAACCTGCTACCCATTAATTTCATTTGGTGTCCTCTAGTTCTTCTATTATGGGAACTAATCAATAACTTTTCTTTATCCGCCCTCTCCACACCACTCATGATTTTATAGACCTCTATCATATCCCCCCTCAGTCACCTCTTTTCTAAACTGAAAAGTCCCAGACTTCACTTACAGCAAAGTGGCACACACAAGCACTCCATTACACCCCTCTCACACCCGCTTGGCCCAACCCTCTCCCTGCCCAGCGGTCCCCACCCTCCCTGGCTGGGTCTCTGGAACAGACCTGCCTCTCCTCATACCTGGCACCGTGTCTTCTCAAGGCAATGTGAGGAGGGTGGGGGGTGGCACGCAACGCAGGATCATAGAATCCAAGACCTATAGGGCTGGAAGAGACCTCAGGAGTCATCGGGTCCAGCCACCTGCCCAATACAGGACTGACCCCAACTCCATCATCCCAGCCAGGGCTGTGTCAAGGTGGGACTGAAACACCTCTAGGGATGGAGATTCCACCCCCTCCCTAGGGAACCCAGCCCAGCGCTTCCCACCCGCCTCGGGAAATCATTTTTCCTAATCTCCAACCTGGACCTCTCCCACTGCAACTTGAGCCCATTGCTCCTTGTTCTGCCACCTGTCACTACTGAGAACAGCCTCTCGCCAGCCTCTTTGGAACCCCCCTGCAGGAAGCTGAAGGCTGCTCTCAAATCCCCCCTCACTCTTCGCTTCTGCAGACTGAACAGACCCAACTCCCTCAGCCTCTCCTCGTAGGTCATGTGCTCCAGCCCCCTAATCATTTTGGTTGCCCTCCGCTGGACCCTCTCCAATGCGTCCGCGTCCTTTCTGTAGTGGGGGGCCCAGAACTGGACACAATACTCCAGATGTGGCCTCCCCAGAGCCGAATAAAGGGGAATAATGACATCTCTGGATCTGCTGGCAATGCTCCTCCTAATGCACCTAATATGCCATTAGCCTTCTTGGCTACAAGGGCCCCCTGGTGACTCATCTCCAGCTTCTCATCCACTGTAACCCCCAGGTCCTTTTCTGCAGAACTGCTACTTAGCCAGTCGGTCCCCAGCCTGTACCAATACTTGGGAATCTTCTGTCCCAAGGGCAGGACTCTGCACTTGTCCTTGTTGAACCTCATCAGATTTCTATTGGCCCAATCCTCTGATCTGTCCAGGTCACTCTGGACTCAATCCCTACCCTCTAGCGTATCTACCCCTCCCCCCAGCTTAGTGTCATCCGCAAACTTGCTGAGGGTGCAGCTTGTCCTCTCTTACAAACACACCCGGCTGCTACTGGCCACCAACATAACCCGGCCACCTCCTGTGTCCACAGCTACACGCGGGCAGGACGGGGTGAAGCCTTAAGGCTGCGCTGAGCACTGGGACCCAGGAGACCCGGCTGCAGGGGCGTCAGGAATGGGCCAGAGAGGTGGCTCAGCCGGGGATGGTGCCTGGGAGGTGGGGGACAGAGAATCCCTGCACTGCCTGGGGGCAGGACCCGGGGGAGGGGCATGGGCAGCGTGCAAACAGGGGGCTAAGTGTCCCTGCCTGGGGACCTGCAGGGTTGGGGCACAAACAGGCTGGAAACAGCTTCTGCCCTGTCACTGCCGAGCTTAGCTGGGAGGCAGAGACGTTTCCCCAGGCCAGGGCCCCGGGGGGCTTTGGCACACGCAGGGCTGGGCTACTCCCGACCAGCGCCCTGGGCTGTGGGGTGGAAGTAAGGGGGGAGGAAGG